CTATGGATGTGTGTCCCGAACCACAGTACTTTGAATATCTAAATATTCAAACATGCATGAATGTTATGCTTGCAACTACAGCAACAACAATAAATGAAGGACAGACTTTATATCGAATTGTAGTGGCCGCATTGTATTTCGAATATTTGTGCTAGAGACATTTCCCTTAACATCCGGCAAAAAGCTGATGTCTCTAACACAAAACATGCACATTTGAATGATTGTGAATCATGGCGTATGAATGTATGTATGCATGTGTGTGAGTGTGTGTGTGCTTTCTGAGCGTGCAAATAAGTAGTGGTATTGTTCGCTCACTTGCGCTGACAGAGTGCCAATGTGTGATGGGGACATTAAGTGATGCAGTTGAGTAGTAGTTGTTGCTGCTGTTGCTGCTGCATTGCAACGAACAATAAAAGGACATGCCACTTGCGGCTACAAAATGCTGCTGTTACTGCCATTACCACCACTAGTACAGCTCGCTCCTCTACTACATAGCCCATGGCAACTGGCAGGTTTGCCCTGCTGCTGGTGTTGCTGCCGTTGATATGATGCTAAATGTTGAGGCTGCTGTTGGCGTTTTCTTTATTTTTTTTTTCATGTAATCTATGTTAAACATTTTATGAATAAATAATAACAAAACACAATACCCCGAACACACACATACACACTCACCCGCGCGGGAAAACATGAACACTCATTTGCACATGTTCATGAGCATGGGGCGTTCGTTCACCATCAGCAGTCTTATGTAAACACTGAAAATCATATACAAACATCCACTTAAAATGCTCGCTGGGCTTACATTTAAGTGGACTTGAAAGTGGTGTTGGTTAATATTTAACTGCTGTTGCATGTCCCTCCCCCCGGCAACGAGGGTAGGATAAACCCTGTTAGGGGTAATATTATTAGATTAGGTGGTTGTGAAGTTTGCAAGGCATATTGATACGACGACCATGTCTATTCGTAACACCTGCCTGGTCAATAAATCTATGAGAGAGTTTTTATGGGTTTTAGTTTGGTTTATGGCATTTTTGGAGGAGTGATGTGATTGAATACATTATCATGAATGAATTAATGAAATATGGATGAGGAACTCAAAAAATTGGGAATGGGGGTAGACCTGACAATGCCTGCATGAACTACATGTTCTTTCTCGTGTGGACGGCCCACTGGTGTATTGACGGTCCACGTTCCTTATTTTCGACTACCGGAATTCACATTCGGCGCCGGAAGTGCATATTTGATCCCTAACAGGTCTATACTCTGTATGAACCCACTAAGATTTTCTTATCACCAACACAAGTTCTGTCGACCAGCGACCAGAGGAACTTTTCCCCATTTCTAATGTGGACTTAAGAAGTCGGCAGAATGTTACCTCCAATATTTTGGCCTAATTTTCTGAGTCAACCTATTCCAACAATTTTGAAATCTGGAGAACCCGGCATTCTTCAGTTCAGGCCAGACAGGTCTATACGGAAAGGGTAGGGTAGATGCAGTCGGAAAACATGTTCTCTAATCTTCGCCCCTTTTTGTTGTGAACATGTTGTGATGCAAGCTCTCCTTCTCTCTCTCGAGCCAGAGGAATTCGGAGCATATGATTCAAAGTCAGTCCCGTGAGTGGAAGAGATCGTCTATAGTACAAAAAAATTTATCGTCTGAAGCTTTAACTGATTTAAGGGCAGAGGAATAACTCGTTTACTAACTGAGTTTACTATAAAAACCTTTATTATTATACCCTCAGCCATATGACTTATTATACCCTTAGCCATATGGCTAAAGAAGGTATATATCATTTGATACGGTCAAAACGTGCCTAGTCGAAATAACGGTTTTAGACCCTAAGTCTCTTTGGACCAAATTCGTTTCAGGAAATTTGGAGTCGATCTAGCGATGTCCATCCGTCTCTCTGCCTATCTGGCTGGTGCGATGTCCCTCCGTCTATCTGCCTGTCTAGCTGCTGCGCACGATAACCCTCGGAGGGAGTATCAGATTTGATCCAAACTTGGTACATCGTAATATTTTTGTTAAATATAGATCGAATTCGGAGATGGGCAATATCGGTCCATTCCTTCTGGTACCTCCCGCACAAAAGGTTTAAATTTTCAAAAAAATATATTTTCTTTACCCAAAGAGAAACGAAAACCCCGATTTTCTCCAACTTTGCAAATCCTAATATTTGTGTCACTACTACTCTACTCTATCAAGTACCTCCCCCATAAAAGGTCGAAATTTTGAATATACATTAAACTCATAAAACGCGAAATAAACATTCGATTCCATTTAGACCTGACACATCTGAATATTTCTATCAACGCAGGATCTGTTATAAAGGCGGTAGATATCGGACCATTCCTTCTGGTACCTCCCCCACAAAAGCTCAAAGTTTTGAATAAGCAAAACGTTTATATGATCCGAAATAAGCATACGGTTCTCTTTATATTTCACACATACTATTATTTCTACTAACACAAGATCTGTTCTGAAGATGGGATATATCGGTCTTCTCCTTTTGGTACCTTCTCCCCAAGGGGTCAAAATTTTGGATAACCATGAAATTAACGTCCGATTTCATTCGGTCTTGGCACATCTCAATATTCCTATCAACACAAAATCTGTTACAAAGTTGGTAGAGATCGGACCATTTATTCTACATCCAAGATGCTGTCAAACCAAACGCTCCAAGCAAACCAATTAAGCTTTCAACTCTCTTCAAATTTCACACATACACACAATTTTGCTAACACAGGATATGTTGTGAAGATGATATATAGCTGCGAACCCCTTCTGGTAACTCACCTACAAAGGGTCACAATTTTCAATACTTTTATCTGTCATAACTTACGAAACAAGTCGGCGATTCTTTACAATTTGCTATTCGAAATGTTTCTCTCCACCAACTTGGGGATGAATATGGATTTTATGATGAAGTTCCCAATATAGACCAAACCTGGCACGTCACAATATTTATATGGCATTTATATAGGTCCGATATGAAATGGACAATATTGACCCATCATTTCAGAACCCACTCCATAGAGAGTCAAGAGTTTGAATAATTATAACAGAAGTCAAAATATATTAAAATGACCGAACATTGGCTGAGGGTATACGTCTGTCGGCAGAACCGTCTGATACTCTTTAGCTTGTTTTTATACCCTCCACCATAGTTTGGAGGGTATATTAAGTATGTCATTCCGTTTGTAACACCTCGAAATACACATTTTAGACCCCACAAAGTCGATTAGCGATGTCCGTCCTTCTGTCCGTCTGTGGAAATCACTTTAGCTTCCGAACGAAATGAAGTAAATCATACAATTTTTCTCAAATGTTTATTATATCTGCAAGACTTTTGGTATTGAAAATGGGCCATATAGGTCCAAGTTTTGGTATAGCCTCCATATCACAGTATATCCCGATATTCGGTATTATGATAATTTCAGCGACATTATTCACCGGAATTGTTTCAAATTTGGTATTTGATGTTCGTAACGGCTGCTACAGCCTATGACAGAAAATTGTCTGTGCAGGTCCACGTCTTTGTATAGCCCCCATATAACGATACCTCCCGATATTCCGTATTTTGATGATTTCTGCGACATTATTCACAGGAATTGTTCCAAATTTGGTATTTGAAGTTCGTAATGGTTTCTACAGCCTAAGACAGAAAATTGTCTGTGCAGGTCTACGTCTTCGTATAGCCCCCATATAATGTTACCTCAAGATATTTGGTATTTTGATGATTTTAACTATATTTGAATATTGTAATGGGTTAGACGACAGGTCCATGTCGTCGTATAGACCCTAACAGCTACGTTCGGTATTTTGTAAGATTTTAACAGATTTTTTTGTTTTTTTGAGAATTGCCATATTCGTCCCAAATGGCGGAGGGTATTCAAAGTTCGGCCCGGTCGAACTTACTGCGTTTTTTTACAATTTTTTTAATTTATAAAAGAAGGCATAAAAATTCTCCTTAGGAAGCCTAAGAATTGTCCACTTTTTCAAAAGTAGTAATTATTTTATGAAAATCTCAGTAATACTCCGGACATTGGAAAATATAATTCAATGTCATTTAAAACCCATGCCCCAACAACTTGCATACTATCCCCCCCCAAACATGTTCGCTAGTAATGCTGCTCATAACACTTTACATATGACAAGTTGTTGGCGTTTCATTTTTTTCCTGATGCAGTCACCAAAACTCGTATTTTTCCAAACCACACACATACATACATGGATACATACATATGTACAATATATACCACCCTGCCCTAGCATTATTTGGTCCTAAAATGCATTTGATTCCAGTTAATAATAGCGGCGAATACCAGTTGAGTTAGTGGAGTAAAAACCACGCAGAGAAAACCAACAATGTGACAGAAGGATGCAGCGGATCAGATGCAGAGAGGAAGGAGGGTAGGCAAACCTACAAACAATGAAAGGACCTTAGAGACTTTTGTGAAAAGTCATTGTGACAAAGGGAACAAGAGAGTAGTAGAAAAAGTAGAAAACAATTGCAATGTTTGTGTTGTCGTTGTCGTTGTATCAACGAAAATTCCCACAAGAGTCGTATAAATATTTTATGCCTGGTCCTAGTTTAGGAGTCGTTCGCCGCTACTCAGGCCTGGGGTCGTGCCACTACTGACTGACTTGACAAACGCAAAAAAAAACTCGGGGAGGACAACAGGCAAAAGTATGTCACATGTTTCATTCTTTGTTTGGGATAGCAAAGCTAGAAGGCAAAGTGAAAAAACTAGGGGAGAGAGAGAAAGAGAAAACAAATGAACTGTATTTGCGAGCAATTTGTATTGTGTGTGGATGTGTGTGTGTGTGTGTGAGCATATGATATTAAGTGTTGGTTAGCCTAGGTCACCGCTCTGCGCCTCTACCACTTCCCTTGGCTGTTTGAGTATAGTTACTTAGCCCATTTCTTCTGGTTCTTCATTTCATTTGGAAACGTATTTGTTTGATTCAATTGTGTCTCTCTCTCGCTCTCTTTACAGCTGCCCCTTTTTGGCCACACGTATTAATCCCATTATACCCATTGTTGGTGCTATTTTGTACTTTTTTACTATGAGTTCCTTGCTACGAACGACCTTCACAGATCCCGGTGTTATACCGCGTGCCTCATATGATGAGGCTGCCTATATAGAAAAACAAATTGGTAAGTTGGCGTTACTTTTTTTCCTTCTTCTTATCTTTCACTTCGTTTGTTTATTACTCTGGCCCCAGCGCAAAGCCATAATAACAGCGGGCAACAGCAACAACAACCACATGAACAACTTTTATGAGCAATTTATACATGGATTATGTTGCTGATGCCTGTTTGTTTGTGTTTTATTTTATTATTGTTATCTTGTTTTCATCACTTTTTGTCTTTGTGTATCTTTTGCGTGTGTGTGTGTTTCTTGTTTCTCTCGTTACAGAAGTGCCAAATTCCTTAAATAGTCCCACATATCGACCGCCACCACGTACAAAAGAAGTCCTTGTCAAAGGACAAACGGTAAAGCTGAAATACTGTTTTACCTGCAAGATCTTCCGACCGCCCCGTGCTTCACATTGCAGTTTATGTGATAATTGTGTTGATCGTTTCGATCACCATTGTCCATGGGTAAGTTGAATAATAAATGAATTATTTTAATTATAAGGATATTTAAATATTAATTTTTAACATTGATAACTTCATAAAGGCTACATCTTCAAATTTTTTTTTTGTAATACAATGCTAAGTTTTTTTACCCTGACCCTTTTGACCCCTTTTGAGAAATGTTACACGACTTTAAGTTAAATAATTTTTTTAAATTTCAACTTTATTTAAGTCTACTTTTGCTTGTCGTAAAAATCGTCCAATTTCGGTTATGCTTGCAGCCATATATAATTTGTCATTCCGTGTATAACTCCTCTTAATACTCATATTAGAGTCTCTAAAGGAGACATCAGTGACTTTAAAATACCAGAAAGTGTGGATCGATATTACCCATCTCCGAACTCGATCTTAGTTCGATAATAATACGGATACTCCCTTCGAGAGCTATCGTGTCACCATCCAGACGGACGGGCGAACGGACGGACGTTAATCTCTACATCGACTACAAATGTTCTGAAACGAATTTGATCCAAAGAGGCCTAAGGTACAAAACCTATTTTTTGATGAGGCAAGTTTTGGCCGTATTAAGCAAACAACTTCAGACTGTCATTTCTAATCCACTTGTCCGAAAGCTGTTAAAATTATTCCAGTGACAGCTCATTATATTGTTACAAGCGTGCAAAAGCATTTCGGTGAGAATTTTCCAGAAAAAAGTAATTCGTGATGGAATTCAAGCGTGAGAGTGTAATTTCTTTATATTTGGCTGGAAAACCACACGGGCTATCGTTAGAGCATTTAAATGTGAATAAATTTTTTGTGTCTCGTACCATCGCTTGTTAGAGTGATACTGGTAGCCTAGCCCGACGTCAGGGGAGTGGACGGAAAAAAGCAACATCAGCAGAAATTGTTTGTAAAGTAAAGAAGCCATTTCATCGAAACCCGCATCGCAGTGTCCGAAAATGGCTCGCGAGCTGAACATATCGCAATATTCCATTCGGCAAATATTGAAAAACGAGCTCGGGGTACAACCACTGTAATTCCGAAAAGTGCAAGAACTTACACCGCAACAGAAAGAAAATAGACTCAAAAGAGCTAAAGAGTTGCTTCGCTTGGCCGAAAGTGGTGAAATGCCGAACTTGGTTTTCTCTGTCTCCGATGAGAAAACATTCGTTGTCCAGCAGTTTGTAAACAAACAAAATGATCATGTTTACTTGGCAAAGAGGTCAGCTAAAAATGTGCACCTTCGGTTGGCCACCACAACTCAAGCGCCGGCCATGGTGATGGTGTGGACCGCCATAACAGCCGATGGTCGCACTCAGCTCGTATTAATTGACCGTGGCATTAGAATAAATGCCGAATATTATCGCGAAAATATTCTGGAGGGTGTATTAAAGCCCTCGGCACGCAAACATTTTGACCGCAGACCTTGGACATTCCAACAGGACTCAGCACCAACGCACTCAGCACGTTCCACCGAAGAATGGTTACAAAATGCGGTCCTCGCTTCATTTCCAGCGCACAATGCCCACCAAAATCCCCGGATACCAATCCGTTGGACTATTGTGTCTGAAGCATTTTAAAAAGCAAGGTTGGCACTAAAAGATACCAAAGTGTCGATTACCCCAAGCAAGCACTTCGCTGGAAATGAACTAAAATACCACAGAGCAACATTCGGACAGCATATGATGGTTTCATTGGCCGTTTAAAGGCCATAGTTTATGCCAAAGGGGACCAATTCGAACAAATCTAAACTTAATCTAAAATTTGATGCTATTTCCGACATTTTTTTCTTTCATTCAATAACATTTAGAAAAAAAAAATGTAAAAATTATGGCGTTTGAGTTTTGTTACACTTTTTTGTCACCCTGTATCTGTAGTCTTAATCTTTAAAATAGGTTTTCAATATTTTTGAATTCCTGGGATTTAGGTTATTTGTACAGTTTTGACGTATTTTGACTATTCCTTCAAGTAATCTTAATCTGAAAATATCGAAAAATGTGGTAGAGGGGGGAACTTTTTCCTCCATTTGTTTGGGTTGTAAACTTTAAAAAACGCCGAAAAATGTGTATCCCATTTTTAGCTTTACTTTCATAATGGTCTTGTTTTTTTCTGAAATTATTAAAAAAAATCACATTTTGAATAATGCGGACCATAGGTTAGTAAGTCAATCAGTTTAGAATTTTATGTTGCATTTTTAAACCAATTCTAAACGAAAAATCGTTTATTTAAGAAATAACTATCAAAAATCCTCATTCACAACAAACAAAATGAAAAAGGTTAAAGTTATGAAATAAAAATATTAAAAATCTGCATCTACAAAAAAAATCCTTGAAAAGGTGGCCAAATGTGGTTGCGTGCTCTACCCTAATTAACGCGTTAATTTCCCAAAATATTTCACCCTTTAAAAAATTTTGTTAAGTCTTGAATCACAATCAAAATGAATTAAGTTATTTGCCCCTCCTTTCATAATCATCTACCCAAGAAAATACCTTTCTTTCGCCTTTACCTGATGCCAAATCATTAGCACTTTTCTTAAGTTTCATAAATTGTTTAATGCGGCTCTCTTAATGAAAATCTCTGATTATTTAGCATAATTTGCGGTAAAGTTTCGTGAAATCCTGGCGGTAATTAACGTTCAAAAAGGATGCCAACCAAAATAAACTGGCCACCAAGACAGTTACGGCTACGGCAGCAGCTTACCAAAAAATCCAGCTGCTTACCAATTTCCTGCTGTAATCAAAACCCCAAAAAAGGAAAAGAAAGCAAATCCTTTAATTAATTAAAGCAATCCTTTGCCATATCTTTTCTTACCTTTCCGAAAATCTGTTTTCCATTGAAATACCTTGCCGTCGACTTTTCTTCAACGGATTTTGTGGTTTTCATTTTCATTTCAACCTTTTGATTGGGTTTCGTTTTTTTTGTTTTGGTATTTATTTTTTTCGGAACAGAGTCAATAGCTGAATAGCTTTGTTAAATATTGCCCTCGATAATAATTAGGTTTGCTTTGACTGCCACGGTGTATGGGATTTACACGAGTATGACAAGCCTTAGAGCTTCTTAACACCCAAGCCAAAGCATGCCTCAAAACAATGGTGGAACCTACAACGGTAGCTACGTAGCTACCTATCTACCGACGACCGAACAATAACGTCATTAGCCATTACAACCATCAAACATTCAGCTTAATGAAGGCACGCTTATCACAGGTTTTTAGTGTTTCGCAAAACGTTTCATTTAAATGTTGAAAAGTATAGGGTGATGCAAAATGTAAACTACATATTTGAAAATAAGAACAATTTGTTATGAAAACTTATCTACATAGGTACATTTTTCTACAATTTTATAAACGCGTGGATACTGAGAAAAGAATAATGGCAGTATTGAGGAAAGTAAAGTGTGATTGTTAAAGAGCTATATAAAAATCAGAAAAATTTATAAAATCTTCATATGAATTTATAATACGGTTCATATAATTCAATATTTGAAAATTATTTCTTGCAAATGATGGCCGCGACGTAGCTTCAAATCTAGAATAATTTTTACTTTGACACTTTTCCCAAAAAATTAAGTATAAAGGGATATTTTGACTCGGATTGGACATAATTTTCACTTTTAGTACATAAATTTTGAATGCATTTTTCATAAAAACTATAGTACATAGATATATGATTTATTCTGAGATTTACAGTGAAATTTTGTGTAGAATATTTCTTCTTTGGACACCTATCACATAAAACGAAATTTTATGAAAGTTTCAGGCGTGAAATCGATAAAAATCCGGGGAAAATTTGATCAAGAAAGTTCAGAAATATTTTCGATTTTTTCGGAACATTTATGCAAAAATATTTTGGCATACAATGAAAATAGAGTGTTCTTTTCTTTGGTAGATCTTAGTAAACTTTTGCTGAAGAATATCTTTGTCAATGACGTCATCCATCTAAAATTATTATTTGTTGGAGATTTTTGCATAAAATCGCATAAAGTACGGCTTCAAACCTAAAATGTTTTATATACCCTCATCCATATGGCTAGAGAGGGTATATATCATTTGATACGGCCAAAACGTGCCTTATCGAAATAACGGCTTAGACCCTAGTGCTCTGCTCTGGTGTGAACAATAACTCTAGAAGGGCGTATCCGATTTGGTCCAATCTTGGTACATCGTAATATTATTATCAAACTTAGATTGAGTTCGGGGGTGGGCAATATGGATCCACTCCTTTTTGTACCTCCCTCACAAAAAAAATATATACTTTAATGCGCAGAAAAAGAAAGGATAATCCGATTTTGCTCCAAATCTTAATACTTGCATCAGTGCTAGGTCAGGTGTGAAAATGGACAATATCAGATAATTGTGTCATATAGAGCAACGGGTCCATTTTATTTTATTTTTATTAACCCAAGGTCTCCATTTAGTACCTCCCCCATAAAGAATCAACATTTTTAATAACCCTGAAGCCCCTAAAACGCGAAATTTACATCCGATTTCATTCAGACTTGGCATATCTCAATATTCCCAGTAACACAAGATCTGAAATAAAAATTGTCGAGATCGGACCACACCTTGTGGTACCTTCCCCACGATCTGCTGTGAAGATGTAATATATCGGTAAACTCCTTCTGGTACTTCCCCCACAAAGCGTCAAAATTTCGAATATCTATAAGGCAAGAAAACGCGAAATTAACATCCGATTCCATTCAGGCTTGATACATCTCAATATTTCCATCAACACAAGATGTGTTATAAAGATGGTAGAGATCGGACCATTTCTTTTGGCACCTCCCCCACAAAGGGTTCAAGATTTTGAAAAACAAAACGCTAAAGAAAGCGAAATGAGCATCCACCTCTCTCCCTTTAAATTTCAAACGAACGAAAATTTTTCCTAACACAAGATTTGTTTTGAAAATAATATACAGGGTGAGATAAAAAACCTGTAAGAAAGTCGAACGCCATAATTTTTACTTATTTTTTTTTTTTAAATTTTATTGAACAAAAAGCAAAAAATTTCGGAAATAACCACAAA